CATGACTTTCCGGACATCCCAATATATCTTATACATTACTGAACATACATTTTTTTTTAATTTGTTAAATTCCTATTTTGATTTTACTGTGACAAATGTCAGTGATTTCTCATTTGCAGGTTCAGTTTTTAAGAATTAGAAGCTAAATAAAACTGCCAAAAATCTGAAAAAATAATTTATGTTCTTTAATATTCATTGATTTTTATGGACTATTCAATTTTAAACTTCTTACCAGAAAAAAAAATCTGAATAATATAGAGAAGTCCTGTCTCCTCAGGTAGTCAGCATTTGTAACCATAGAATTTGGTAGCTCACAGTGCAAGCATCTGTCTTCAGCTGTGGAAGCAGATTTAACTGCTAATCCATAGAACCTGTTAGTGAGGGTTGAGCAGCTCATCTCTGCAGTGCTGTCCTCAGTGACAAACTATACTCCGCATGGCATTTTTTGCTTGGGAAACCAAACTTAAAGTTGTTTACAAAAGAATTCTGTCATTAATATACGCATAAGAGTCTCCTGAAATTTTCATGATCGCATGTTTGTAAAAACTCTATACGCATCTTCTAATAGTTGTTAGACCCAACTCTGTTCTAAGGATTCAAGTAGCTGGATTATGTAAAGCGTCCTAGAAAAGTTTCTTACCTATTTTAAAGACAGCCCTGTAACACAAGGGAAGTATAATTTGAAAAGTTTTTTCAAATTATATTTAACAAACTATAACCTTATTTTATAAGCTTTCTCTTTCTGCGAGACATATTTTTAAATATTCAAAAAGAGCAAGAGCAAGGTGATGTTCATAGGAAAACTGAGGAGCTAATTATAAGGATTAAAAATAAAATAAGATAAGTATATGAGCAACATATTTTATATCTTTGGTCTAACAATATTTGTTATAAATTGAAACTTGTAAGAGCTAACTGCACCAGCGTTTTTGTTGAGAGAAATATAGGCTAGGATACATATAACTAGGGCATGACTATTTGATTATAAATCTCACTCAGTGCGATTATATTTGTAAGTATACAATGACATTACATTAGTTCTCCCAGAGCAGAATGAAGAGTGCTTCCTTTGGGGGATGTTTTTCTCCTTAACAGTGGTACACCTGCCAATTGGTGTTGACCATTGTGAAGAGAAGAAAACAATTAATTGTAGGACAAATAAACCATGATAACACAAAAGCATGTTCTCTTTCTTCTTTACAAAGAAGCTGTGACTATCCAGCTGGCTGTAATTTTTTAATGGATTGCAGGTTAGCAAATATAGAGGCTATTATAATTCTCATGCTTCATCTGCATAATATCATCAGTAAACTCAGCACTAAATCAAAACACCTGTGCAGCAGATACAGTGAAAATGCTTTTATGTTGCTTTTAGCGTAAATGTCAAGAAAAAAGTAGCAATGTTCCATGTATTTAATTTTTTATGGCATTGATATTCACGCAATAATCATGATGTTTTTAGTTATGAAGATTTGATCCATTTTATTTTGTATAATGCTTGTCATTTTACCATTGTAATGCTGGCACCTAGCAATACATTTTGCAAACTATCCAGAAATACATGTCCACATATATCTATTGCCATACTTATATTCCTCTGAAAGTCAGGGAATGCAATTCATGTTGTGATATATATTTTTAAAGATTTCTTCATATACTTCACTTAGAGTAGGAAGAGATTTCACAAGTGCTATCACTTTCCAGTCAATATACCTCTGCTGAGCATTTATATTTCTAAGGAATAATACTTCATTCCAAAAGTTCTTTTAAAACCAACAAACTTCCATATCCTAAAAGAAATTATTTTATTCACAATCTTACCATTCAGTGAAAATAACTTACTTTTAAGTATTTTAACTATATTAAATACTAATCATGTAAAGCAGTTGGCCTGGCATAAGTTTATGGCCTGAAGTATGGATTCTGGTAATTAAACAATTAAGCTGAATTAGTTCAAAGGCAGCCCCCGAATTATTTGTTCTCATTCCGTATATACAAAAAAGACTGATAATGTCAGTAGCACTGGAAACTGTATTTTTTTCCTTACATATTTTGACGCCATGTAATTTAGCTCTTATAAGATCAATTCAAAGAGAAAATAATTATCATTTCATAAATTACATAACCAATAATATAAATTCATATGCAACATATTTATGATTTTATATCATGTAGAGAAAATAACATCTTTTTAAATGACTCTGCGCTTGCTATTTTTATTTTATTTATTTACTTACTACATTTTAAAAGGACAGTTTAGAAAAAGGAGAAAGAAAAAGCCAGGCACCTGCACCATCACAGGCAGGCAGAGGGCTGCCCTTCTGTGTTTTAAATGATTCTTATAACTAGGTGTGCTGGAAAAGTCTGTGAGTGTCCCAACATCAGAAGTGAACAAGATTCCATTTTCTGACCATGGTGCAATTGTGATAGATGTGAAAAAAACAAAGCTGAAAGTTACAAATCAAAAAGATAATGTGAAGAAAGCATAAAAAGTATAAATTATTTCAAAACAATAAAAATGAGTACAGCCACATATAAAAATTATAGATCAAAATTCATAGGAAAAGTCAAGTTATTAAGTGTTTTCATGATTAATTGATGGAAAGTAATGGAAAAATACACTAAGAAATTGTTTTAAAAAGAAAAATGGATTCAACCTCATGGAGACAGAAAAGAGAAATAATTGTAATAATATAGAAGTAGACAAAGTACTTAAATGAAGCTAAGGTTTTTTTTTTAAATAAAATAGACAAATTCCTGACTAATTACTTTTAAAAGAACTCACAAGAAAATTAGAATAAGTTTAACAATTAGAGGTGATAAGATTAAAATCTTGGCATGCTATAAATACAGTCAAATTCACAAAGATAATTGGGGCAGAGACATAATTTTCTAGGAAGAAATTGTAAATATAACAATATGCCTCTTAAAGAATTACCTTCAAGATCCAGTATTGAATGTGTTGAATTCAGTATTGAATGTGTTTTCAGACATTCATGGAACAGTTAATTCCCATACAATGAAATCTGTTTGAGAAAAAAATGGAAAAATTTTTGAAAAAAAAAGGAAAAAATGGAAAATTTTTATGAAGGTAATCTTCCCAAATATTTCCCAAGTCTATTAATAATTTAAAAGTAGTAAGAAATAAAAAAAAAAGTAGTAAGAAATAAACCACGAAAAAAGATACAAACTGAGTATTTTACAATCTCTGCTTAAGAAAATACAAAGTATAAGAAATAACAAAAAGGATTACAAAGAAAATTATAATACACTTGGGCTGCAGATTAGGCCTACAAATTATTAAGCATCATTAAAAGTTAAAGAAAGAAAAGTTAAATAGCAAGCGCAGAGTCATTTAAAAAGATGGTATTTTCTCTACATGATATAAAATCATAAATATGTTGCATATGAATTTATATTATTGGTTATGTAATTTATGAAATGATAAGTATTTTCTCTTTGAATTGATCTTATAAGAGCTAAGTTATATGGCATCAAAATATGTAAGGAAAAATACTTAAAGCCAAACAAAAGTGTTAATGTATAATGTAGAAAGAGCTCCTATAAATCGTTATGAAAAATATTAATAACCCCTATGGAAAAATGGGCACAAGACATTGACTTATTTACCAAATAAGAGGATAAGAGGTGCAAATGGAAAATAAACTTATGTATGATCACCTTAGAAATAAAAAATATCAAGTAAAATTATTTTTTATTTTTCAAAATAACAAGGATGAAAAAGAATTTAACAATATGAAAATGTGCTAATTATGCTCAAACTTTAATGGCAACAGTAAAAAATGAACAATTAGAAAAACTGGCACTATATAAAAGAAAAGTGGAAGAGTTTACATCATTGACCAGTAAACCCACTTATGAAATAGCCTACGGAAATAGTCAGAACTGAAAAAGAAAAATTTATGTACATGGCAAAAAATAAAATTAGACAATAAGAAAACGATTAATAAGTAATGACACATTTATATATGGAATATTAACAACTCTTAAAATCCATTTTTCAAAGAATAACCTTGGCAAACTGCTAGCTAATCTAACTACAGCATGAAATATTGCAGAATTGGAATGGGAATATTGTAAATGTCACTTTAATTTTCCCCCACTGAGGTAGTTCATTAACAAAAGCACCTACATATTATATTAAAACTGTAAAAAAAAAAAGCCTAGTGGCTGCATGAATGGGAACAAGGAGCTCATTCTGCAGCAGAGCGGACACTTAACCAACCCTCAGTGACTAGGGCTTCCAAGGTCTCTTCTGTGAAAATCTAGCATTGCTGCAGCCCAGAGAACTTCCAGAGCTGAGTGCAATAGGAACATGGTGTCACCTCCAGGCGTGGGGTCTTCACTGCCTGGCTGTCTACACCCGCTAAGAGCCTGCCTGGCATCTCCAGCAGCCATGCTTGCTTTTTTTTTAATGTTTTTATTTTGTAGAAGAACTGGGGTGTAGGCAGAAGTGCGGGGTGCAAGAGGATCCACCAGAGTGGGGTGCAGAACAGGCAGGTTGACTGAAATACACTGCTGAGGGGAGCAGCAGGCAGGATGGGAGAGAACTGCTGTGCCAGATGGGTCAGCTCCCGGGCTGGGATGGAAACAGGTCCTGGAGGTAATAGCTCTGAGACTTAACCCCTAGGCCAATAAGGAGGCCCATGTGACCTACTTTAAAAAGGAATGTGGGACTCTCCAATGGGCTAAAGCACTGCATTATGAGGCTCTCCAAAGCCACTGCAGCACTAGTCTGCTTCCCCTCCAGGGAGCTAACCCACATGACCTGCCTGCTGCTCCCCTCAGCAGTGTATTTCATCTATCTGACTGTTCTGCTCCCCCATTCTGTCTCTGGTGAATCCTGTCACCCACCACACCTTTGGCCTGTATCCCAGTTCTGTATGCATAAATAAATCTTTAAAAAAATAAATAAAGAGGGGGCCCTCCTTGGTGCAGCTGGTTAAAGCACAGCACTAAGAAGCTACAGCCACTTCCCCATGAGTTCAGTGCCTGCCCCAGAGGTGACCACATGGCGCGGCAGCCTGCTTGCTGCTCCCCTCAGCAGTGTACTTCCTCAGTCGGCCTGTTCTGCTCCCCACGCTGTCTCTGGTGAATCTTCTCACCTGCCTGCCCCTCTGGCCTACACCCCAATTCTTGTATGCATAAATAAATCTTTAGAAAAAAAAACACTGAGCAGACCTGGATGGGAGTTGGGGCACCATCGGTAAACTCAAGAAGGCCCAGCTAGATCACAGATTATGGCAGGTGATCAGTCAACCCTGGCAACCATGAGAAATGAAAGCATCTCCAGCATTGGGAGGCATCTCCAGCAGTTGCTGAACTGCCCACTGCCAGCTCAGAAGCCTTCTCTGTAAGTGGCCAGCCTGGCTCAGGGTAGCTGAGGCGAAAAGCAGAACAGCAGCCTTCAGCAGGGAGATGCAACAGGCTAAAGTGAGTCCAGTCTGTACCATGGGGCAATGCAAATTCCTGTTAATATCCTGCAGGTCGCTACATTGCTCAAAGTTTACAGACTGTCAAGAGTAAATGGAAATTCACAAAACTAAAGAGTTTACTTTTAAAGAAGAAATTACTATAGCAGAAGTGCATTTCTATTCTAGGGCTGTGATATTTATGCAAATTATACTCCTCATGTATACTTGAGTAAAATCGTGTAATTATCACTGAAATGAGAGTAAGACTGAAATTTAATTTTCTAGTTTTAAATAGGTCTTCTTTCTTCTGAAGGCGGGATGTTGAAATGTTTGTCCATTCATTATTTTTTTTGCATTCATTATTTTTTAAATGTGCATTCCTACTAAACTAAAACACTTAATGGAATTAGTACCCAAACTATAATATAAATATTTTACCTTCTGGCTATTTAATATAGCAGTAACCTTTGCAAGCTACTATTTATCATGCATGTCACCCAAAATAGTCACAAACCTAATTTTGCTACTGCCAACATTGATAGGCTTCTGATAATTTGTGACTATAAATATTTATGTCACTTTTATAAGTGATGGGAACAAAATTTTGGAGAACAAAATGAATTTATGCCTCGCTGAAGTATTTGTGTGCTGGTAAACATATAGGAAGTTGGCTCTTCAAACATACAAAATCGTCAGAGGAAATTGAACCTGAACAATCAAACCCTAGTGAATATATTCATCAATAATTTTCATTTACTGACTGCTCACTTAGCATGGCAATATCTTAAGTAAACATCCTCCTAGAATGTGCTTCAGGTTATCCCGGTTAAAAAAAAAAAAAACAGGGGCCCTCCCTGGTGGTGCAGCGGGTTAAAGCACAGCACTGAGAATCTAAAGCCGCTTCTGCATGAGTTCGATTCCCACCTGCCCCGGAGGTGACCACATGGTGTGGCAGACCTCTCTTGACCCGCCCGCTGCTCCCCTCAGCAGTGTACTTCGTTGATCTGCCTGTTCTGTTCCCCACTCTGTCTCTGGTGAAGCCTCTCACCGCCCTTGAGCCTCTGGCCTGTACCCCAGTTCTGTATGCACAAATAAATAAATCTTTAAAAAAAAAAACAAAAACAGTTAATAAAGCAGATTCTTCAAGTTATAAGAATTAATCGGAAAGTCTGAGAGTTCAACACACTTTGACATTTTTTGATCTCTATATCCTCATATGCACTTAAATTTTACATAGACAATACCGTTCACTTCATGATTTATTTTAATGTAGTATATTTGTTTTGTTTTCTCTTTTTTTCCTGTTTCCTTCCTTCTGTTCTCCCACCCCAAAATACATTATTCTCCTCTCCTGGAAAGTCTTATTACAAAACACATACTCTTTCATGTTTCATATGCTTCTACGTTCTTACGCAAACATATAAAGAGAGATTCTTTCACTGTTTTACATAAATAATATCCTAATAAAAAACTTAATACATCTTGCTTTTTCTCCCTCAATGTCATAGCAGGAATCCCTGTATATCCGCTGGTATAGCTAATGGTTATATAATATTTGTATATCGCAAACAATAATTTATATAATCTTTTCCCTCTTATTTGATAGTCAGTTTCATTTACTGACTGCCCACTTAGCATGGCAATATCTTAAGGAAACATTCTCCTATTTCCCTTTTATTTGATAGTCACTTAGTTTGGACTTTTTTAAATGTCCTTGTATACTAGGATTTTAAGTTTCGGGGATAAGTCCCGATGGGTAGGGTTTTCGAGTTGAAACTAAACTGATTTCCTAAAAGACCCTAACAGTTAACATCAACAATTAGTGTGAATACACTTTGCTGACATTCTGTCTAGAAATGTCCGTCAATTTAATCTTTGCTATTGTCTCTGAAGTAATCTTTTATTGTTTTAATTTCTATTTCCTTTTCTGCCCCAAAGTCAGGTGCCTTCTTGTTTATGAAGTTCTGGATTTTCTTCCAAGAACTTTGTTGTTTCTTTTTTTTTTTAACCTTTATCTTTTATCAGCAGGAATTTATTGTTATATCTAGTAAAAACAGCTCTCAAAGTCCTATGAGCCAACCAGCAGAAAGCGCATGGCGCCAAATGTAGGGCAAATTGGGGGAAGTGGGGTGATTCCTCTTTGTCCCAGCAATAGCACTTATGTAGGTATATGATATCTTATTCATCCTAAAGAGAAAATAGGGCTTGATGGTGGTTTTGGTCATGGAACACTTGTTTTTCATCATCTTTCTTGTAGCCATCTCTAAAGAAGAGCCAAAAATACTGAGACCCCCAAGAAGACCACGGAAACCCAAAACACTAAATAACCCTGAAGATTCCTCATACTACTACCTACTACATGTAAGTGGTGTGCTGTCATCATCAGTTAGGAGGCACAGCATCACTAGTGGCCAGTATGGAGGCTCACCATGATGGGACTGTGGAAAGGCAGGGCTCACTCAAAGGGAGATAGATACCCCTTGGTTTCTGCTTCCTTCCCCTTTCCTTGGCTGAGTGACTGTGGGCTCTCCTGTGGCCTCTCCTGTGGCCTCTCCTGTGGCCCCTCTTCCTGGTGGTCCAAGTCTCTCTTACAACCCGGTAACTCCCCCCCCCCCCCCTGCCCTCTGCTGTTTCAACACGGAAGGGAGCCCTGCAGAGACCTTCATTTAGATTCTAGCGTGCACCAAGAGTGAAATAAACCTGGACAGCATTTCCTCTCTTAAAAATTCCTGTAACTGAGAACCAACGTATATATACTATCTCCCAAAGGGGAATGCTTATGCAGAATAAAAAGCAGATCTTGCCAGCTTGAGAATTCAAGGACAGAATGTTATTTGATTCTTAGTCATATGAAAGGGGTCTCCGTCGTCAGCATAATGCCATCATGTAAGCATAACTTTGGGTTATAGAAAATTGTTGCCCTTAACAAGAAAGACTTTTTTCTCTGATGATGAATTTAGGAGGCAGGACCTCTGTCATATTAAAGTGACCACAATAAATACCACCCCAGTCCCAGGGACCATTAACTGGATTGCTAGGGGCCATTGTACCTATGTTGGTAATATAATTATTTCTAAGTACCTTCTAGCCCAGGGCATTGGATCAAGAATATGAAGTAACAGGAAATAGCAAGGAGGACAGGAATATAATTGGTGTCTTGCCCCAAGCATTGTTATTTCCTGAATGGTCCACTCCCATACTTAACGCATTTAAGCATCCTTTTCTACCTCATCCTCCCCCTGAAATACTACCAATTAAAGTGAAAGAAATTCTGAACAATTTGACTCTATCATCATTTTAGTATATTACAGATGATAAATCTTGAGAAAAAATTAATTTATTATATGTAAAAGTACTCTGGAAAACCCACACCATTACAAACCACTATTGTCATCCTTATTACCTTGCATTTATCAGTGCCAGCAAACTTAATGTCTGCACTAGGGTTTCCACAATTAACATCTCTTCAGCTTCCTCAAGATGCTTGTGATACTTGTGATCTCGATCTAAAAGATCTGTGTCCTTTTGTATGTAAATGTTAAACCAGCACCAAAAGCTAAGGTTATAATACAAAAGATAGTATTGCTTCATATTGTAGGGTAAAATGAAGTGTTATTTTGTTAGTGTTCGAATTGAAGTACTTGTTAAGATACATCTAATTATCTCTATACTTAAATATTTTAATTTGTGCCTTGATACCTGAAGTCCTCAGCTGTGAAAATATTTTGCAAACAAACATACATATCATCTATGGTGCTACTCTTATGCCACAAAGTGAATGGAAACACATTTCCAGTCTTCTATGGAGTGTCAGACCTGCCCTCCCGTCCACTCCAGACGGCTTTAACCTAAAGACAAGGATATTGTATCACCAGGAAATCAAAGCAGCCGAACTCACCTACCTACATCACAACTACATTTTGGTAGTCATGGGTTTGCCAGAAATTCTGACATTTTGTCCTCATTTATTGATAAATAGTTGTCCTCATTTATCAATAAATGGGCAGTATGTAATCTTGTGTAGACCAATCACTGTATGGTAGCATTTTTTCTCATGTGAAATGTGATTTCATCTCAGGCAGGTAAAGGTAATCACAAGTTCATAATTAGTAATATTAGAATTAGATTAAATTATATTTCCTTAGACTTTAAATATAATCTACTCTCTTGCTTCTAAAGTAACTTTATAGATATAAACTTATGTGTGTATTAAGACTAATATACAAAATCCATTACATTAATGGATAATGAATGTAATTATCTATTACATTAAGATTTAAATGGTATAGGAACTTTTAAAATTCTTCTAATTCTCTTTAGAAATCAATCCAAGAAGAAAAACGAAGACCAAGGAAAGAGAGGTAATTAATACTTCTAGATTACAATAAGGCAGCTTATCAAACTAAAATATAAATCCATACATTTTAAATATACAGATATTTATAAAGATCAGCTTTTCTCTTAGTGATCCAAAGATCAGTCATGAACCTTATCTAGTCTGGCCAGTCTGGAACATTGTGATCACCACTACCTAGTGACTGCTAGCTTTGTTCCAAGTTCAACACAATAGAACCAGAAAAGTTACCTCAGCAGCTAATGTTTTCTTAAAGGTAGGAGCTGAAGGTTTCATTTTCCGTTTTAATTTATGGTAGATACTGTTTTTGAAAATTTCAAGACTTCTGTTTCTATTGACATGTATCATGGTAAACACTTTAAGAGAAGAAGAAAACTAGTATCTTCTAAGTTTAAGTGAGTAGAAAATTAGATTCATGTCATGGTGTGTTTGTGTTCATTTACAGTCAGGGAAAATTATTAGATTTGGAGGATTTCTATTATAAGGAATTTTTGCCCAGTCGTTCTGGACCAAAAGAACCTATACCTAGTTTCAAAGAACGAAGATCACACAGAGAACTCCCACATCATGGTTTTGAGGCTGATAAAAGGTAATAAGTGAAACTTTATAAACTGTTACATTTTCATTTTTGCATTTACAGTCCCATCTATAAAACACTTTCATTTTATATATGGACTAATGGCAAAGCATTCCTACTGAATATTGCATTTTATATTTGAAATGTTTCAAAGTAAAAGCATAAATACTATACTAGGTAAATCAGACATCCCCGTTTTTCTAACAAAATACCAGTATATACCTGTTTCCTTGGTGTAATTATTATAAGATCACCTTTAAAAAGTAACTGAGCTTGGGTGAGGAGTCATATGGTCTTCCTAAAGATAAACCAAAAGTCATATCCAGTAATCTATTTAAGCAATGATCAATGTAATTTTAAATACATACTGCTTTCTAGGTTATGCTATATAATTTTTTAGAATCAGTGATGCCAGACCAAAAAAATATTTTGTAAGATTCACATAGAAATATGTATTTGGTATTTGGTTCCTCACTTTAGCACCAACTGTGTTTGACACAGGTAACTTAAAACATGTCTACTTACTTGCTACTTGGGACCAGAAGGGAGCTTCTTTCTGCAACACCTTTTCTGTGAAACTTTGAAATGGAAGGTACATAAAAAGATGGAAACATGGTATTCTAAAAATATAAGCAACAACAGGCAATAAAACCCCGCAGCCCTCTCCTTTGCAGTGTGACTAGGTGGCTAAGAGGAAAGGTTTTTGGATGTGGCCATGTTAGATTTGGATCCTGATTCTGCCACTTAAGAGCAGAGTGACCTCACTCATGTCACTCAGCCTCTCTGATGTGGAACTTCAGTTTCCACATCTGCAAAAGGGTTTACTAATAACTGCCTCACCAGGTGTCAGAGATGAAATGAAGGATGTATGGAAGCACTTGACCCCAGATGTGGCACAGGGCCAGTTATTAATGGTGGCTATTATCAATTTCACTTCTTTTCCAGAATCCATCTCAACTATGATTTCTGCTCCTTGTCTCCAAATGAACATATGTTGTTCCATCTGGGATCAAGAACTAGAACATGTTGAAGCTTAGAGTTCTAGTCTAGTCACAGAGCTCTGTACAGGAGAAAACCAAGTGATAGAAAGAGTCAATGACTTAGTTCAAAATCACACATTGAGTTAGGGAACGAAAATCCCAAGTTTTGTACTCCCTACTCAAATTGCTTTTCACTGACTTGCCTGCTTCCCACTTGAACAGCCCAATCTCCCTGCTGTCTGGTATATTCATCCTCTTCCCCAACTGATGGGCACACATCTGCTGTAAAAGCATCATATCCCTGAAGCACTCTCTGTTGTACCAGTGGTGTTAATGGGTGTGGAGTCAGTATTTATCAGAATAAGAAAACGCTGGAAGTTAGCAGTAGTTGCATGCTTACTTCACACTAGGTATGATACTATTATCTCATTTAATCTTCAGAGCAACCTTGTGACTAGTTACTCTTACTGCCCCATTTATTGCTTCAGATGTTAACTAACTGTTTGGTGATAGCCAGTAGATGATAGAGACTGAGTGAGGATGTGAATAGCCAGCCTGTGGGGTTTAGAGTTGATTTCCTGCTCCTTAATGTCTTCCTGTGCACCATCCCTTGCTGGATGTTTGAAGAAGGGGTGGTTATTAGGGTGTCTCTGATAGGATCCTTCTGTCCAAGGAACTTAACTCTAGAGGGAAAATATATTGATCTAACAAAGCTAAACAAGCAACTCCCAGGGGGCAAGGAATATTAAAGAGAAAAAAACTACCAAACACAATAGGTAATTTTCCTTGATAGAACTCTGGGTTGAAAATAGAAAACAAAGCAAAAAAGTCTAAAGTAAAATTAGGAATGGACTAGAGTGGTGGGTCATGGTGCTCTGGGGGTGGGTGCACTATGGCAGTAACACTTGGGGTGGGGCCCTATATCCCCAAAATGTAAAGCAACAGTACCTCAATTAAAAAATATATATGGAAAATAAATATGTTCTGGTCCAATTAGAGAGATTTAATGCTAAAGTATATGTTGGATGGTGTTATTACAGAAAGGTATGACATTAAATTAATATATAATAAATGTTTTATAAATTTACATTATATAAATAAATGCATAGTATTGTGATGATGGTGATAATAATCTGTACATTATTAATATATAATACACACAAGTGCTGACACCATCAGGAAGGTGTGAGTAATCTGGAACTCAGGGTCAACAGCATTGATGAATTGAGTGCCTGATGAGCTGGAAGTAAATATAGCAGTTGCAGGTAGTGATCACAGGAAGTGTTAGGGGAGAACCAGTATATCCTACCTCCTCCTAAAATGGGCCTTGCTAGGGCTTCTGGTGAGTAATGCTGAGAGATATGAAGTATCTAGGCCCACCCAGATTTTGACAGTGGCAAAAATAAATAGAAAGGATGGAAGGGGAGGAAAACAAAATGGAGTAGGAGTACCTTGGTGAAAGAGAGGGGAATCGTGAAAACATCAGCAGCAGAAAAGAAGAAATCAGGACAAAGTGAGACAATGTGAAATAACTATCTTAGATGTAGCATAACCAGAACCGAAATCTTTATCCCAGACACCCCCCATGATACAGGCAGCCTTTTCTAGGTGTTAAAGGGTAATGTTGTCCTTCCAGTTGTTTAAGGCAGTGACCGTGGAGATATTCGCCTCTTGATTCTGCCTTTCAGATCGGACTGGTTCTTACCTTCTCTGCAAGCAGGGTCCAAACCAGGATCTGTCTTGCTGGGAGGGTTGCAGTATCTTTGAGCAGTCCTCCCCACTTCCACCATGGCCATAGATCCTTACAGGAGTCATTCCTCTATTCAGAGCCCTCCAGTGTTTTCTCACGTTTTCTCACAATTCAAGTCTTCCCACTGGTCTGAAAGCATAGATTGTCTGTGCACTACCCACTCCCCGCCCCCCCATCGCACCCCTGTTCCTCCTGATTTCATCCTTTGCTTTTCTGCCCTTGCTTATTTCTTTCAAGCACAGTGACCTCCTTATTGCTCCAGGAAGACCACGCACTATACTCTGGGGGCTTTTGCACTGGTTGACCTGTCACTCAAGAATGAAAATCTGCATGGTGCATTCCTCCCTTTGGGCTTCCCTCACATGTCACCTAAGCAGAGAGGCCTTTCCTGATAACCGGCTATGAAATTGCTGGTTCACACACGTGCACACACACCTTCCTCAATAGCCTGCTTTATTTGTCTCCTTTGGCATCTCTGACCACCTGATTTATTAAAGTTGTCTGTGGTCCCACACTTATGTATAACCCTGGAGAACAGGAAGGTTTGTTCACCTGGTAAGAACCAGACCTACACTAGTGGCTAGCTGGTCCTTAGGAGGTGCTCCATGAATAAATGAGCCAATCTATATAGCTGCATTTTAGGGCCTACCCACTCCTCCAGACAAGCCCCAGAACCCAAAGATAAACGTGAGAGGGGTTCCCAGCAGCGAGTTCACCAAAGTTGGCCAGTAGCCTCATTGAAAGTGCTGGTAGATCCCACAGCTCCATGTCATTCACTGGCAGCTGATTTGGGAGAGCTATTTTTAAATTATTTTGCATTGGTAGCAATGGCTTATGTGATTCTGAAGTATATTTTTACACCTCTTAAGATGAATGTCCCCACACCATACCCACCACAGGACACTCATGGCTGAGGGAGAGCTTTTGGAAAGAAACATTTGAGCAATTTTGAAATGCAAGCTAAGCTCATCTTTTAGAAATACACCTTCTACTGCTTTACTTAGCTCGCAGAAATACAAAGTCACCAGATTCCACCCGCCTTTCTGCTCAACTCAGATTTCTTAAAATCTGCTGAGGAAAGTATGGAATGTGTTTGGCCACTATCAGCCTGTTTGGAATGCGCGTGTGTCAGGCCCACGGCAGTTGGTGGGAGGTGTGGGAAAGAGAACCTGCCCAGCGAGGGGTGGGGGTGGGGGCGTTGCGCTGAGGCTGGGGCTCGGGCGACGCTCGGGCCCTGGGTCTTGTTCGCAGGTGCTGGGCGCGGGAGAGCAGAGAGGAGGAGGAGATCCTGCTCGCGGCCAATCCCTTCGACTACCGGAGGCTCCTGCGGAAAACCTCCCAGCGTCGGCGCCTGGTCCAGCAATAGCCGCGCTGCTTCTCCGAGGCCACGGCCGCCGGGATGGTGCCAGACTGCGTGACTGCAAGGGCCTGAGCGGGAGGCCGCCGGGGCTGGCACCACCGAACGCCGGAGTCCCGCCGCTGACCTCCGCACGGACCGCCGGCCACCTGGCCCCTCGAGTGCCGGGCCTGCCCGCCCTGCAGCGACAGTGGAGAACTGGGGAGCCTTCCTGTCACCTGCCAGCACTCTCGCCAGCCCAGTCACTGGGCATTCCTGTCCTTGTCCCCAGTGTATTTCTTTGTTGACTTGTGACTCCCCTTCTGTGGACCAAACTGACCCCTCCTCTCTTCTTAGGGCGACTTAAAATTTCTCTTCTTTCTTGGAAACCACCCTCGGGAGAGACAATCAGACGGGTTCATCTTTGAGAAAAGAACAAAGCCCCTTCGGAGGGGTGGGGAGGGGGCGGAAGAGGGGAGTTCTAAAGAACTTCATGGCGAACTTGCGCTCTCCCTTCCTCTTGGCTTTTGGGGTTACTAAATAAAGTGCGCGGGAAAGTCCCTGGCTTCCCGGGCTGTTTCTCCTTAATCTTTAAATCCTGCTCCAGCCACTGTGCGGAGGGGAGGGCGGATGGAAGGTGCGGGAAGAGAGGGGTGATAAGGTGTTGAACGCCTTCTGTCTGCTGGCAAACCCCTGCCAGCCATCCCAAACAGAAGTGAAATCTAAGTCAAAATCCTATACTTGCTACAGAAATGCCGTCTCCAGGCATCTTCACATCCTCCCCAAGAGAGCTCTCTCTCTCTCTCTCTCTCTCTCTCTCTCTCTCTCTCTCTCTCTCTCTCTCTCTCTCTCTCTCT